GGCATAGTGAATTTGGTTAGTTTCAGGGACTTCTTGAAGCTATTTTTAGATGTTTACCTTCCGATTTAAGGAGTTTATTGAAGGATGGAATGTTTCAGTATCAGAGGAAACTGCTAACTTTTGCAGCTGAAAACCTTAATGTCTTACCTCTCTTAAAAGTCTTTGCAGTCTAGCCATACTGTCTAACTTTTATATTACTAAATTAAGTTTACTTTTCTTATTTTCAATTTTCACAGTAATTATTCTGTCTGTTGTGAAAGTCCCTTACCAATTTATTTGCCTGGTAAATTCATATTTTCCCTTCACCTTGTGATTCATCTATAAATTTATAAAGCAGTTTATGAATAGTGAATATAAGTCATGTTAGGAGCCAGAAATATAGAAGATAGGTCTAACCACTAACACAAAAGGGAGCTAGAAGTTGAAAACAAGATTTTGATATTGCATCCTATCCTAGTACATGCAGTACAACTCTTTGGGGAGCTAAGACATTGCTTTGAGTAACGGTGATGTCAAAGATGGTGACTGATAGTGCCAGAAAGGAACAACATGATAATTTGTTCCTGTGACACAGGTATGCAGTAGAGGAGAGAAAGAAAGTGGCTAACATATATTACAAAGATCACATTTCCAACCTGACCTATATCCAAGGAAATATGAGAAAAATAACAAAAATAATTATTCTAAATTATTAAAGCTTTATGAAAGCAACTTCATGAGATATGTATGAGAGTAGTAGATGCTAAGGAGTAGAGATGAAGCAGAATTTGTGTACAGTAGTGACTTGGGTTGAAATTAAGAAGACTTGGGAAGGGAGTATTTGTAACAAGTCTATTTGTAAAAGAGAGTTACTTTATATTGAAGGGTATGCAGATTATGTAACTATGGAAACCATCTTTTATAGAAATACTGTAAAATTACAAATACAAAACTAGGCACACACCAAATATTTATTAGAAGGACCAATAAATCACACAATTTTAAAACACCAAAAATGTCACAGAGCTTAGAAAATGGTATTTTCAAACATTTTATTTGAGACACAATTTACATAAAAATAAACATACAAATTTGGTAAACAGTTCATAGAACTTTGAAATATTTATAAACTTAGTATTTACCAATTGAATTAAGACATGAAGCATTTCTGTTAGTCAAGGGTATTTTCTTATGTTCCACTGAATCCCTATTCCAAAATCAAAATTACTATTTTAAATTTATATGACCATAAATTAATTTTGCCTGATCTTAACCTTCATAAAAGTACTATTTAGCATCTTATTACACACACACACACACACACACACACACACACGTAAAATTTGCTCCTAATACTAATCTGAATATGAAACTATTTTGTTGAATGCATCAGTAGGATGATGGTAAGACTGCACTGTAATCACCTAGAGTGATATACCAGGGATTTCTTACCTACTTTATTGGGAACATTTATACTGTATCCAAGTTGAGGTATTTCAAGTTAAGTTGGTGTTCTTGTTTGCTTTTGTTGACTGTATTAAACACCATGAGCAAAAGAACTGGGGGGTTGGGGGAAAGAGTCTATCTTACAGGGTATATTCCATCATCAAGAGACACCAAGGGAAGAGTTCAAAGCAGGACCTTGAAACAGAAACAATGACGGTCTCTACTGCTTAGGAGTTTGCTCCCAGGCTCTTGCTCATTAGTCTCTTGCACATCCCTGGGCTACCTGAGTAGGAATAAGTATCAAAACAGTTGTCTGGGCAACCACCATCAAATAGCAATCAAGAAAATGCCCCACAGACCCAGCCATTGGTCTTTCTGATGAAGTCCTCAAGTGTTTCCTCCTCCAGAATGTATAAAATTAAGCATCACCCAGAACATAGCATACCCTTTAGGGTTTTGGAGGGGGGAGTGTTTGCTTGTTTTTTGTTTTTGCCAATGTGTGTGATGATACCTAAGTGTAGTTTTAATTTGCAGTTTTGCAATGGGCAAGCATTCTGAATATTTCTCCTGTTCTCATCTAAATATTTCCAGCAAAAATATCCCCTCATTTGTTGCTAGTTCTTCAATTGGACTGTTGGATTTTCATAGTATTTAGACTTTCACTTGCTTTGTCAGGCATGTGATTTATGGATATTTGAGCTGAAGGTAGCTTGTTTATCACTTTCAGTGATTTTCAGAGAAAAAAAATTTTTTAAGAGACCAAATTTATTATGTCTTTATTTTATGAGCATTGCATTTGGTTTAAAATTTAGGAACCTAAACTGAGACACTGAATAATTTCCTACTTTTTCTAAAATGTTTATAATTTTACATTTAAATTAAAAATAAAATTTCAGTGTGCACAATTTAGATTAAGGCTTACTGGACTTTTGTCATTATATCACTGCTTTCCTTTTAAAATCAGTTGGGAGTATTTGAGTAGGACATTTGCTGAGTCCCGCTAATATCTTCAAAAACCTAGGTTAATGGCCAGGTGTGGTGACTGTTGTATTTTATAAAAAGATAAGGAAGAAATATGTTTAATGGAGGCACAGTATGGTGTGGGGGAAGGGGGTGTCTTGCAGGCCCATGTAGAGAGAGAGGAGGGAGGGGAGTAGGGAGAGAGAGGGTAAGGAGCAGGAGTAAGAGAAGAGAAGGTGAGTGAGGAGAGAGCAAGCAACTCCTTTTATAGTTAGTCAGGCACACCTGTCTGTTTGCATGTAATTGTGGGACAGAATCTAAATGAAATGCCAACACTGACACATAGTTCTAATTCCACCACAGCACTCAGCAGGCAGACTTAGAGCTCTGTGAGTTCAAGGCCAGCCTAGTCTATATAGTAAGCTCCAGGACAGTCAGGGAGACATAGTGAGACTCTATCTCAAAAAAACAAAATCAAAAAACAAAACATACAACAGAAACAATGACAACAAATTCAGACTAGTGATTAGTCCAACTTGTAACTTCCACACATCTTATTATTAGATGCAGTAGAGGCTCAATTTTCTATTGACAGAGTATTTCTAAAGCACAGGAAAAAAGGAAGCTTCCTGAATTCTCTGAGTATATAACCCACACAGGGAAAATCAGAGTGATGCTTCTGCATTTATAGTGTTAGTGTTTATTCTATTCATTGAAATCATTGGGTAAGGGTTTTGAGTATTCATAGTTGTATTTAGATAAACGTAAGTGTCATACAAAGATTATCTATTCTGTTATGACTTTTTCAGTGGCATCCTTCTGCTAGTCCATTGGTTATGAGAAAAAGAATTTTATTGGAGGTTTTCTCCTCTCTGTGCCAGTTAAGGTTTTTGTTATTGTTGAGATCATTTGTCTGTTCTGAATTTGAGAAAATGTAAGATAATATTTCTACTCTAATATAAACAAGGATTTCTCCCATAAATGTAAATATTTCTCACAATCTAACGTCTACATGTCCTTACTGTTTTACAAACTAAAATTAAATACCATAATTAACTGTCATGGATTTCACATAAACATATATGTTTATATTTTTAATTATTTTTCATACAATTTTTGCTTGAGATATTATGAAAAGTTATCTTATACATATGAATGAGCATATACAAATAATTTTACATGTTACAATTTCAAATATAAAAATTCATTTATCTATTTAAAATTTTATATTTATATTAAGTTGGTAGTTTGAAGTTTTCTGATTATTTTTACCTGATTTTAACTATGATATTTTCTTCTTCTGACACTGAGGATATATACATCTGTTATGTCATTGTTTTTAACTAGCTGCTGTTCTATTTATAGTACACTGCAACAAAAATTGGCAATTCTTAAAATAATCTTTAACATTTGCAATCATGGTAACACCTTGGCAATGATGTTATTGTATAAAGCAATAAAAATAACTAGATTAGCCGGCTATAAATACTTGCAAACTCTCCATGGGCTTCACACAATTTCAGAAATCTCCAGAGCCCCATTTGGGATCCCAATCTTTCTTCAAATTCATTCTTTGTTTTTAATTGCAGATTACAGAAATTAAAATGAGTTTCTTCCTTCTATATAACTAGTTTTCTTCTTCTTTGAGATTACTGATGATTGATTCTTTCCAGTCATTAAAAATAAAGGTTTTCTTTTAGTCACTAGTCAACAATGAAAAAATAAGTGACAGAATAGAACAATAGATGAAGAATAACAAGCCACTGAATAGGACAGTAGATGAAGAAACAAAAAGCTACAGTCATACTAGGCTCCCACTTCCTACTTTGTATTGTTCTTCCTTATTCTTACTCTTGAAAAAATCACAGGAACTGTATATTTACATATTTTTCTCCATTTTATGACTAAAATCAAAGTTTGCTCTGCTCTCTATCGTGTAAGTAATCCAGTTTTGGGTTTCCTTTTTATAACAAAGTCAAAAGTCACTGGAGCCAAATAATGATGCTGATAATCAACTAGAAATTCGTAAGGGATTTTAGAAATCTCAGTTTATACTCCTTAAGATGGAGGAAGGATAGATATTTTAAGAAATATAGCAATTATAAATCCAGAAAAAAAGTATGTGTCTCTATAAACACATTCTCAACCAAATATAATGGTATAAATCATGTCAATCATAGTCCTAATTTATCCAATGTTCTTATGGCCTTAACTGGCATACATAACTAAAAATATTAACAAAATTTGAGGGTAAAGATAACATGGGAGAAATATTGATCCAATTCAGTATACAATGATACTTTCAGCAGTGTCTTAATTTTTATATTCCTATACTATCTTAGTCCAAACTACAATAAGCCAAAATTTGTTATAGAAATACAGTTATGCTGTCATTAAAAAGGCTAAGTTAAGAAGATTTCCCCATGCAAAATAAGAGGTCTCAGGATCAATGGTACAGTTTCTTATTCTAAATGTTTGTTCATTTGTTTGTTTTGTCATCTAAACACAGCATTAAACTCTATTTGTTGTTGACAGAGTTATAGGTAGGAAACAATAGAACTTTTTAAAGGGAAGATATTGTTTGTGGACAGTTAGGTTGCAGTGGTATGTGATGCTTAAGTATGGCTCTTCAGATGCTGGTTGAGATAATTCAATCTGGAATAGCTTTTGTTGCACTCTGGACATGTATGGGGCCTCACCCCACTGTGCTTTATTTTGTGTCTCTTGAGATCTTCTAAGCGGAAGAATGACCATGGGCATCCAGTCTCATCACATGCATAATCCCTCTCACCAGTGTGTTTCTTCATGTGATTTTTGAGGTGATGAGACTTTGTGTAAGACTTGTTACAATCCTGGTAGGTACAGTTGTATCGTTTCAAAGGATAAGGGGTCTTCTTGAACGCATGGCTCTGGGTCTTGAGGTCTAAATTCATCTCTGGATGTTGTTCCTGGATCAAACCAGAAGGTGAAGAGCTTTCCTGAGGTTGTCTTTTTATCACAGGGGAACTTGAAGGATATGAGGATTCACTCACATATGGGGCTTGGTTGCTAAGTAATGTCACCTGAGAATCAAGGCTTTCATCAATATTGGGTGTTCCATTCTGACTTGGGTAGACATTCTGATCAAGAGAGGCCCTCATCTGACTAAAGTAGAACATCTCTTCAGAACTGAAACTTTTCTCTGAATGAAAATCCAGGCTGTCTTCTGCATTGAATGTTGTCTGAGTCCCATGAAGAATTGTGTCAAAACCAAAGATTGGCATCTGAAAGTCATAGAGAGGCTGGCCATCGATTAGACTTGTCACCTGGTGATTCTCAATCAAATTCTGGTCACATCTGTAGCCTGATGTCTGATACCCAGAGAGGGAGTACTCACCACTGAAGAGACTCTCCTGACCTTTGCAGACTTTCTGACCACCGAAGGATGTCATCTGATAGTGGTGCTTTATCTGGTCACAGTTATCTCTCTTCTGTGGCTCATAGAAAACTTGGTATCCATTGGGGGTTATCATCTGATCTCCATAGGATCTGTTATCAGCTACTAGGTTCCTCTGTGAATCTCCCAAAGGATTCTGTTCAGAAAGGGAGGTTAGAATTTCATTGGGATGAAGGGCCTGGCTATAACTGGGTGCTGTCATCTGATTTCCATAGAGAGTCAGATGCCCTCCATTCCTGGTTGTCAGCTGACTGTAGTAGGATGTCTGGTCATCATTGAAAGTCATCTGAAGGTCACCACTGAGGGTCTGGTCATTTGCAGAAGCAAGGAAGTGATCCATTTTTGGGTCATGGCCTACATGGCTTCCAGAGAGAGCAATTTGATGATTATGAGAGGTAGTACTCTGACTCTCACACATGCCTGTATTATGGATCAAGACAGTCTTGTCAGGGCTCAGTGTCCTCAAACAGTAGCCATCATTGTAGAAAGTATCCTCGGTGTCAAGTACTGCTGTCATCTGGGGATGAAAGAGGCAAGTCATGGGATTGCTGTTGAGCTGCATAAGCTGAGGGCCTGCAGGGATATTTTTCTGCTCAGCAAACGCAACTTGCTGGTTCAAGGAAGAGGTCTCACTTGGCTCTCCAAAATGGAATTCAATAGCTTTTCCTGGGTGTGCTGTTGAGTTCTGAGTACAGGCTGTCTCCTCTGTGCTACAGGATGCAGATGTCATCACTGTTTGTTTCCAGGTAGGCATCTCTGAGCTCTGACCTGAAACAACCTGGCTGGACTCCACAGGGGAAGGCTGAGTATTACAGAGTCTTGGCTGGGAAGCACCTGTGTTTTCTCCCATGTCCATATAGGCTTCACAGAAGGCCTGGGAACTCTTCAAGTTCCTCAACTGTTGAGAGAAATAACATCTGGCTGAACTAGATATTCAGTTGAGAGAGCTCAAAGTACTTGAGAATACATTCAAGAGACAGACAGAAGTTAGGTGGTAGACAGGAGTAGGAAGAGAATGTGTGCTAGAATCCAGGGCTTCACACCTTCATTGGCTCTGACAAAGGTGGAATGGGCAAGGAAAACTTAGCTACATAGCTCTGGGGTCTCATTTTATAAAGCTAATCCTGATGTGGTAAGAGCTTCTGAGTCTATGATTTGGTAGGACATACATTTCAGTGGGTAGAGCCCCATACCTAGAAGACTTGCTTAAACATCTAATCCTTGGCTATTATAATTCAGAAGGTGCTCCTGTTTACCTACCTTCTTAGGTCCTTTGGGTGTTAGTTTGCCTATAATATACTTAGTAGGCAATATACACTTATAAGATTTCATTCATCATCTTGGAAGAGATTGTGTAATAGGATTTGTTGATTGGATGTTGGTGGGTTTGGACAAGAGCAGTAGAGAACAGGTGGCCTAGTATTGGATGGAGAGAGTGAATAAAGAGACAATTGTATGATGTTCAAACCTCTTGCAATGGAGACTTAGAGATTACATGAGTATAGATACAGAATCTGGTGTGGCCATTTTTTGTAGCCAGGCCAGTCTCCCTGGGAAAGGACTCTGTTCCATTCTTTTGTGTCCTTGTGCTATGGGGTTACATCCAATTTCTCAAATATAGACCAATGCTAATAGAGAGGTTCATTCTCAGCATACTGATAATAGGACCCCATTGTCTAGGACTATTTCCACACAGCTCATGATACCTGAAGAGATCCAGCTTGTGGTAAGGATGGACTAAGTGAGAAAAAAATCTAATTTTACATTTTAAAAATGGAAACAGTGGCCTTTCTGGTAGGGCAGACTCCTAGCTGGTCTACTCCCCTCAACATACCAAATCCTGACCCATCTACAGGAACCACTGTACTCAGAGAAGCAGAGGAACCACTTCACTCAGAGCAGAGGAGGAACCACTGTACTCAGAGCAGCTGAGAATCAGCTACACTCAGAGTAGTTGAGGAAGCTGGATTCTCAGGAGCTTTAATACACCCCGGATCATAGGATTTCAGTATTCCAGAGGCAACCTGAATACTAGGAGCTCTTCCACCCAGGATCTCAAGACCACAGAATCACAGAGAAAGCTAGACTTTGAGGAGTTCTGACACAAGCAGGATAACAAGAGAGATAAGCTCCAGTCAGAGACAGGGAGTGCAGGTAGCACTAGAGATAACCAGATGGCGAAAGGCAAGCTCAAGAACATAAGAAACAGAAACCAATGTTACCTGGCATCATCATAACCCAGTTCTCCCACCATGTCAAGTCCTGGAGAGGCCATCACAGCAGAAAAGCAAGATTCAGATTTACTATCACATGATGATGATAGAGGACTTTAAGAAGGACAGAAATAACTCCTTTAAAGAAGTACAGAAGAACACAGGTAAACAAGTAGATGTGCTTAAGGAGGAAACACAAAAATCCCCTAAATAATTGCACACACAACAAAACATGTGAAGAAATTAAACAAAACCATCCAGGATCTAAAAATGGAAGTAGAAACAATGAAGAAATATCGAAGGGAGAATTCCCTGGAGTTATAAAACTTAGGAAAGAAATCAGGAGTCATAGATGCAAACATCACCAACAGAATACAAGAGATAAAAAAGAGAATCTCATGTGAAGAAGATATCATGGAAAACATTGACACAACTATCAAAGCAAACGCAAAATGCAAAAAGCTCCTAATGCAAAACGTCCAGGAAATCCAGGACACAATGAGAAGACCAAACCTTAGGATAATAGGTATAGATGAAAGTGAAGATTCCCAACTTAAAGGGCCAGTAAATATCTTTAACAAAATTATACAAGAAAACTTCCCTAACCTACAGAATGAGATGCCCATGAACATACAAGAAGCCTACAGGATTCCAAATAGACTAGACCAGAAAAGAAATACCTCCTGTCACATAAAAATCAAAATATCAAATGTACAAAACAAAGAAAAAATATTAAAAGCAGTAAGGGAAAAAGGTCAAGTAACATATAAAGGCAGACCTATAAGAATTACACCAGACTTCTCACCAGAATCTATAACAGCCAGAAGATCCTGGAGTGATATCATACAGACCCTAAGAGAACACAAATTCCAGCCTAGACTACTATAACCAGCAAAACTCTCAATCACTATAGATGGAGAAAACAAGATATTCCATGACAAAACCAAGTTACAGAATATCTTTCCACAAATCTAGCCCTACAATGGATAATAGATGGAAAACTCCAATAAAAAGAGGGAAACTATAACCTAGAAAAAGCAAGAAAGTAATCTTCCAACAAACCCAAAAGTAGATAGCTACACAAACATAATTCCACCTCTAATAACAAAAATAACAGGAAGCAACAATCATTTTTCCTTAATTTGTCTTAACATCATTGGACCCCAATAAAAAGACATAGACTATCAGACTGGATATATAAACAGGACCCAGAATTTTGCTGCATACAGGAAACACACTTCAGTGACAAAGACAAACACTACCTCAGAGTAAAAGGATGGAAAACAATTTTCCAAGCGAACAATCCCAAGAAAGAAGCTGGAGCAGCCATTCTAATATCAAATAAAATTGACTTTCAACCAAAAGTTACCAAAAAAAGATAAGGAAGGACACTTCATACTCTTCAAAGGAAAAGTCTACCAATATGAACTCTCAATTCTGAACATATATGCTCCAAATGTAAGGGCACCCACATACATAAAAGAAACTTTACTAAAGCTCAAAGCATACATTAAACCTCACACAATAATAGTGGGGGACTTCAACACCCCATCCTCAGGAATGAACAGATCATGGAAACAGAAACTAAACAGAGACACAGTAAAACTAAGAGAAGTTATGAACCAAATGGATTAAACAGACATCTATAGTACATTCCATCTTAAAACAAAAGAATATACCTTTTTCTCAGTACCTCATGAAACCTTCTCCAAAATAGACCATGTGATTGGTCACAAAACAGGACTCAACAGATACAAGAAGGTTGAAATAATCCCATGCATCCTATCTGATTACCATGGACTAAAGATGGTCTTCAATAAAAAAAAAAATGGAAAGCCCACATACATGTGGAAACCGAATTAACACTCTACTCAATCATGACTTTGTCAAGGAAGAAATCAAGAAAGAAATAAAAGATTTTTTAGAATTTAATAAAAATGAAGGCTCCTCATACCAAAATTTATGGGACACAATGAAAGCAGTTCTAAGAGGAAAACTCATAGTTCTAAGTGCCTACAAAAAGAAACTGGAGAGAACATACACTAGCAACTTGACAACAAACCTGAAAGTTCTAAAACGAAAAGAAGTAAATATATCCAAGAGGAGTAGACAACAGGAAGTAATTAAACTCAGGGCTGAAATCAACTAAGTAGAAACAGAAAGAAGTATACAAAGTATCAACAAAACCAGGAGCTGGTTCTTTGAGAAAATCAACAAGATAGATAAACCTTTAACCAGACTAACCAGAGAACAGAAAGACAATATCCAATTTATTGAAATCAAAACTATAAGAAGAGGCATAACAACAGAAACTGAGGAAATTGAAAAAAAATCATCAGATCCTACTACAAAAGCTTATACTCAACAAAACTGGAAAATCTGGATGAAATGGACAATTTTCTAGACAGATATGAGATACCAAAGTTAAATCAGGAGCAGATAAACCATCTAAACAGTCCCATAACCCCTAAAGAAATAGTAGCAGTCATTAAAAGTCTCCCCACCAACAAACGTCCGGATCCAGATGGTTTTAGGGCAGAATTGCATCAGACCTTCAAGAAAGACTTAATACCAATTCTCTTAAAACTATTCCACAAAATAGAAACAGAAGAAACCCTACCCAATTCACTTTATGAAGCCACAATTACTGATACCTAAACCACACAAAGACACAAGAAAGAAAATTTCAGACCAATCTCCTTTATGAATATCGATGCAAAAAATACTCAATAAAATTCTCACAAACCGAATCGGAAAACAGATCAAAACAATCATTAATCGTGATCAAATAGGCTTTCTCCCAGGAATGCAGAGATGATTCAATATATAAAAATCCAGCTAGGCAGTGTTGGCACACACCTTTAATCCCAGCACTTGGGAGTTAGAGGCAGACAGATTTCTGAGTTCGAAGGCAGGCCTGATCTGCAGAGTGAATTCCAGGACAGCAAAGGCTACACAGAGAAACCTGTCTCAAGAAACAAACAAACAAACAAACAATAACAACAACAAAGAAGTCCATTAACATAATCTACTATATTAACAAATTCAAAGAAAAAATACCACATGATCATCTCACTAGATGCTGAGAAAGCAATTTGACAATATTCAACATCCCTTCATGGTAAAAGTCCTGCAAAGATCAGGAATAAAAGGGCGATAATTAAACATAGTAAAAGCATTATACAGAAAGCCTGTAGCCAACGTGAAGCTAGTGGAGAGAAACTTGAAGCAATCCCACTAAAATCAGGGACTAGACAAGGCTGCCCACTCTCACCCTACCTATTCAATATAAACCTGGAAGTCCTAGCAAAAGCAATTAGACAATAAAAGGAAATCAAAGGGATACAAATAGAAAAGGAAGAAGTCAAAATTTCACTATTTGCAGATGATATGATCACTTAAGTGACCCCAAAACTCCTAAACCTGATAAACAACTTCAGCAAAGTGGCTGGATATAAATCAATTCTAACAAATCAGTAGCCTTCTTCTACTCAAAGGATAAACAGGCTGAAAAATTAGGAAAACTTCACCCTTCACAATAGTCACAAATAATATAAAATACTTTGGTGTAAGCCTAGCCAAGTAAGTGAAAGGTCTGTATGACAAGAACTTGTATGACAAGTCTCTGTAGATAGAAATCAAA